CAATTCAAATATTTTTGGACTTTTTTGACAACAGAAGAAAATGAGAGAACAAAAGTAATGCTAACACCTCATAGCCTGTTTTCACTATCCTTATGCCATCTTAGAATATTTAATCCATGATGGTTTATTTTTCAAAACTGCAGATTTACAGAATGGGCATTGGATGACTAATTCATGTTTTAATTTGCCATTAGTTAATAAAATATTAATCATCTAAATAGCCACATGCAGGCCTAAGAACTCAATGTATGTGTGTAATTGATAAATGCATGTTAGATATTTAATTTAAGATACATTTAGCATATATGGTTGTACATCTAGCATTTTAAAAATTGGGTCCCTGCGTAGGATAGATTTGTTTCAGTGCTGATATTGTTGAAAGCATGAAAACAAATTAGCGTAAGAGATTGACAGCCACATTTACATAGTAGGTAAACTAAACCTAGCTAGCCAAGATAAACACCAGATCTTGGCATTGTGTTGTGGAACCTTTATGGTGTCACTGTGGTAAGGAGCTCAAAATAGAGAGAGAAAGGGAGCAGACAGCCAAAAAAATCCTTAATGAAGCATATTCAGGAGAGCAATGTGTTTCCCATATAAGCTGAGCCCTTTTCCATAGTTATTCTGTTCTGAAATGTGTTGCTCTGCAAGGATCTCTTTAAGCTGAGCTACTCAGTTCTCACTGTGTTTTTTACAAGTGAGTGAAGATGTGCGGATAGTAAACTGCTAGAATTTTGTTTCTGGACTTTTAGAATAGGATCTCATCTTCCTAAATCCTATATAAACAAGGGGTCAGGTGACATTTACATTTCACAAATTAAGCCAGCCCAACTATTTTCCAGGGTTCCTTTAAACAATTTCTTCTAATCTAACCTGAAAGCTCCCCAGGTAAACTCCCTATACTTTAGCTGCCTGCATATGCACAGAAATGCCTATTTAAACAAGTGATGCAATTTCTCCCACTAGAGAGGTCTAGGCAGGCAATTCTAGGCTTCTAGGAGAGGTACAGAGTTCCTGCTCGTAAGTCTGTTTTGTTTTTGTTTTTTCACCAGGAATAATGTAGAGTAAAATGTGTCTGTAGGAGCATGATCTGGAACATCTGTGCTGGTCCCTTTGATCTGTCTGCGCTGTCCCTTGGGCTAGCCTGAAGGGCTCATTCATCTGCTTTGTTTTAGACTCTGATCTTGGCGACGTTTTGTGGCTCCTTTTTAAAAGGAGTAGTGGATATTATTAATTGGGATATATCACTGTCTGGTGAACAGGGAACTGTTTGGAAATAGAAGTTTTGTCTTTCTGACTCTGAGTAAAACTCAGAGCTTCCTACTCTGTATTTCAAGCAGCAATGCAAAAAAGAGAGAGAAATCACCACTACATGACAATCTTCAGAAGTGAAAGAGGCAGACTGAACCCTGAGTAAATGTAAACACCTGCCTTACGTGGTCTGCATGGCTGTCTGGAGCTACTGGTAGAGTATATGGTGAAGGGTACATAAACTGGACTTACTCGTTTCTTCAGGTTTTGAAGCATCACCTTTTCTATACTCATCACGAAGGGAATTTAAGGACATGTTTCAGATAAACTGATTTTCCTTTGGATCATAACACCTAGCATTTTAGTAAAGTAGTACCCAAATTAGGCACACCGGATTGCAGCCTTTGCTAAATGGAGTAATCCACAGGGCTGGTGAATTAGCTCTGCTTGCAATATACTCCCGTGTTTGCTGGTGATGAACTATACACGTGCTTGATGTTTAACAGACCTTGCTTTGTATTAAATCTGAGACATATGGCAGCCATTACTGAAAGAAAGCAATGCAATTTTTCACCGTCAGCAACTTCGATGCTGAAACAGAACAACAGTTCTTACAGCACTCCCAGTTGTCCATATCTCCTCGCAATGGGTCTTTCTAGTGTATCTTTTTAGCTCTTCTAGTCTTTCTCAAGCTTGTGGACTGTTCTAGTCTCAAGCATGTACATCAGTCTGCTCAAGGAGATGTTACCACCCTCTGTGGTTGTTGGTGCTCTTTACTTTTTGATTTTTTTTTAATACAGATTCTCTTATTACATTGATTAACAATGTGGATTGCCAGGAGACATATGGAGCAAAAATCATGTAATAGCTTGAGACATCTTCCTCAAACTAGAACACTCCCAACAGTATCTTTTAAAAAGTCTCCAAAATTCACAGAGTGGGCATTCACAGTATTTTTACTGTAATAATTTTTCCACTTCCTTTTATTGTCATGCAAATAACTTGCATACTGTTACTTTTTGGGATGTTGTTTGTGTTTCACTGATATTTGCCTTTGATTGCTCAGCTTCACAAGTTAAAAATGATGTCATTAACACAAAATTCTTAGCCCCTTCTTACTGAAAATAAGGCCCTGGAAAGTGTCTCAGGTTGGATACTCAAAACAAAAAGCCTCCCAAACCATTAGTCATTTTTTAAAATCTTGGCTGTGGTCTTTTATTAGTCTGTAAAACTTTATCACCATATATTGCACCCTTTAAATAATAAATAGTAACACCAGGTGATGGGGGACTGAACAAAACAAATGTATGATGGAGAATATGTGTGTAATCTTGAAGGTTTCATGGAAAGCAGGCCTTTCTGCAATGTCTGCTTGGGCACCCAAGCAATCACTTGTTCCTGCAGAGGTCTTTCCAAAATTTTTGAGTGCATGTGAGAATACATATTTCAGCCATCACACCCTTTCTTCCTGATTTTGAGGACTTTTCTTGTCAGTTTTTCTGCTCTTTGTTTGCATCAGAAATGAAAATTCACGTTATTGAGAAAGTCTTAGCAAATGTTTTTGCTCTTTTCTTCTCCTAGTGAAGAACTGCTTCTTTGAATGGAATGACAGAGTATGTGTTTGATAAGCATCAAATACTTGGCCTCCAAATCCACAATGGGCAGACTGTGCCATGTCTCTCCCTTGCTGAACAGTAGTTCATACAAATAGTCCCACTGCCTGTCACAAGGTAATCACCAAGTCCCTCTGCCAGTGATTTCTGTGATAACATAATGAACATCTGTACTTGATTAACAGGTTAAAGGGTAAATTCAGACCTCCATGAAGCATAAGATAAATCAATCTTTTTTTGTTAAATGTGCAACATCTGACAACTTGCATCTAAGTGTGTCACAACAGGTATCTGCCACCAAGACACACTATTTTAAACTCTTCAGTATAACATTTGGGAAGGTCTCGGTTCATTCTTTAATGCTGAACAGACCTTAGTGCCTCCATATGAGGATACACACACTACACACTCTGTGAAGATTTAGCACAAATGCAAACCAGTTTTACGTTGCACTGCCTGGCTTTTACAAGAATCATAGATGCACTTTTCATGGTGAAGCCTCCTTAAATCTCTCACAACTGAACACACAACTATTTTAACCTTCATACAGGGATGCCTCTGCCTCTTCTCACCTCTCCTCCGTGGACTTCAGCTGACAAGCCTCCTGGTCATTAATGTGTGGTACCACATCTGCAGCGGAAGGTCAAAGGAAACATTTTAAGGCCTAGGTGTTTAAAGTGACACTCATAATGAAAAGGTTAATACATTACATCTAATTTTTGTGCTTATAATTAGTACGTCTGCTTAAAGCTAGAACCTTTATTTTTAGGTATAGATGTAAATTAATTTCATCTAATTTAAACTTTTGAAATATTCATCTTAGTATGCATGAAGGAATCAATTTTATTCCTCGCTTATAAGAAAGCCCTAATAATCTCTAAGAGATGTTGAAGGGTCTGGAGTTCTAGCAGAGAGAAACACTGAAGCACTTGTTTTATTTTTAAGCACATACTAAAGCCATGAAAAATTACTGGTAGTAAGGATGTATTTTTTGCTAAACAAAAACCAAGGTAGTACAAACATATACTTATGAAAAAAAATTTATGACGTGTTTAACATTAGCCTTGCTGAAGTCAGTGGAAGTTGCCCATGTACTTAAAGGTTGCTTTCCTTTTTTTGATTACCAATCTTTTTGGCTACTCCCAAACTTCTTTTGAGACATTCTTAGTTTAGGAAACGAAGTATTAAACATTAAAAAATAAGTTGTTAAAGGTTTTATTGTTAAAATAAATAAGATGAAACTGAATTAAAATGATTATACAAATAAGTTTTAAACCTAATATAAACTCATAAAAGGTACCAGGATATATTTTATGTTTTCAGTATTTTCATAAGCTTTTTCCTTAAAACAATTATGCCATTGTTCTGGCTTTGAACGTGGCTAGTTTTCCTGGTATTAAGTTGTTACTTTAAGTTTGGACTAAAAAAGAAAACAAAAATCCTCCAAAGTACTTAATGTGAGAAATATGTGTCTATGCCTTGGCTAGCAAGTTGGCTGGAAAGAGTTTATTTTAGATCAATGATGAAACAAGATAATTAATTTATGCCTTGATAATTAAAACCAGACCTCACTGCAGTAGGCACTGAAGAGTATGACAAGTTTGTAGAAATATATGTAAATATCTCTCTGAACAAAAAGGAAAAGGTATGGTTCAATCTTTAAAAAAATGAAAATATGTTATTAAAAAATTCTTAGCAAATACTTTTGCTATCTTCTCCTCCTAATCAAGAATTATGTCTTTAAATGGCATGGCAGCATCTGCATTTAATAAAAACCAAATAAAATATTTCCGTAGAAACAGATGGCACTGGTTTTAATTCTTGTGGCCAGTTCAGGTATTATGAGAATGAATTATGATGTAAGCAAGCTTTGCGTGTAAAGAATCTTCTGACAAAAATTTTGAAAAAAGGTGCATTTTGTTTTACCTGTTTCTTCTAGACCAGTTCCTCTCACCTGCTAAAAGGTAAAAATCAAATGCGTTCAGCTCTGTGCCTGCTTGATATTAAAGTCAGGATTTCCTGTCTTTTCCTGCCTAGGTGCTTAGGTGCCTTAGTTATTTTAGGGGTTAAAAGCTGTAGCCACTGGTGCGTATATATTAGGCTGTATTCATAGAACACGGCTTGTAGCCTGACTCAAGCTATTACAGTCTAACAACAGTGACCAATAGAAAGAGAAGAAGATCCAACAAAGCTGAGGTAAGCCCAAACTCTGAAGCAATGTCAGACTAGAAACAATAGCTAATAAGGTGTGTATGGCAATACATCTGGGAATACTAGCATGTACTTCAAGTTTTATATGCTATTAATTCTTAGGACAGGAAGCAAACACAGTGGTTAGCAGCCAAAGGCTGTGAATTTACAGTGATTTCTAACTGGCTTCAGATAGCTCCAGGAACTTGACTAACAAGGTAAATTACTTTATATTTCTTTTTAAAAATGTTATTGAGATTATGAATATTTACCCAGTGAGAAGGTGCCATTTCACTGTGTAAATTAGAGATGTTATTTATTAGAAGTATTTTATTTGTCCTTTTTTGGAATGCTTCCAGATAGCATTTTCTGAGGCTGGAAGATCTGTAGGATACTGCACTTGTTACTGCTAATAACAATGTTGAAAACTATTAAATGACTACATATCATATGCAGCAACTTAACTGAGCTCTTAACCTTACTGGCCCATTAACCCTATGAGAAAATATACTTTTTATTTAAATACTATTTTTGCCAAAACTAACCTTCTAATTTTGACTAGCAATTTCAGCTATCAGTCTCTTGCCTCTGCATTGCAAAATGCTTGCTAATCTTCATCAGAAAGCAAGCAAGATAACAGAGTTTGTGAACCACTGTTTTTGTGCTGCACAAATATTTCCTTTTGGAGTAAATTAGCATTGATAATTTCATTCACCATTTAATGGTGGAAGAGGCTAAACAAAGCAAATAATTAAGTAGGTAAAATAGATACAAGATGTATGAGTGTATATGACATAATTTGGCTAGGACTTACTTTTTGTGTCGTTTAGATCAAGCATTTGCTTTGGCTGTTTGCTTTAGAGAAGGAAATTCACAGCTTTGGATATGAAAGAGTGAATGAGGGAGGGGAATGGATTACTCAAACATATTCCCTCCAAGCTTTTTAAGAACATGCCCAACAAAACAGCTGTTAAAACACTCTTTGATCTTTCACTTTTCTGTGATGAGAAAAGACCCTGGAAAATCTGATCCAGATGCCATTATAATTTATGAGAGAGGAAAAACAGAAAAGAGGGTACGATTAATTTTAAAAGGAGGAACTCTGAGTACAATAGTATTTATATCATCCTGGTATTGATAGCTTTACTGAAGATGGTACATTATATAAAGTAGTTTATAGCTCTGTACAAGAAAACTTAAACAAATTTATAAGAAGCACTGATTTAATATCAGAAAAATGATCCACGTTTTCATGTTCTTTGAAATGACACTTAACATGAACATCAGTTAAACTGGTAGCCAATGTGGAGTCTAAGTTGAATCAGGAAAATGTTCTTCAATATATAGCAATGAATTGGTTATACCTCTTATATTACTGTTCAGTTTTTCCTTAACATGCCATAGGTAATACCACAGAGGACAGAATTTGGTTGTTTATAAAGGAAATATTGTTTTCTATGTAATACTGCTTTGTTAATCTAGTATGCTGTTACAGAGTTCTGTGGAGAGACAGCTAATTGTTTTTCTCCCCTTCCAAGGCAAACAATGACTCTAAAAGTCTGTACAAGCCTTTTGCTCTTATTCTTGGTCAATTCTGCATGGACTCGAACTGTGAGACAAGTTTATGATGAGCTGGATCCTGACCATTGGTCTCACTACACTTTTGAGTGTCCACGAGAGTGCTTTTGTCCTCCTAGTTTCCCCAATGCATTATACTGTGATAACAAAGGACTTAAAGAAATACCTGCAATCCCTGCAAGAATTTGGTACCTCTATCTTCAAAACAATCTAATTGAAACAGTTTCGGAGAAGCCTTTTGTGAATGCCACTCATCTGAGATGGATAAATCTGAACAAGAATAAGATCACCAACAATGGAATTGAGAGTGGTGTGCTGAGCAAGCTGAAAAGGCTGCTTTACTTATTCCTTGAAGATAACGAATTAGAAGAAGTGCCTGCTCCGTTACCAGTGGGCCTGGAACAGCTAAGACTGGCTAGAAACAAAATCTCCAGAATCCCAGAAGGAGTCTTCAGCAACTTGGAAAACCTCACTATGTTAGATCTGCACCACAACAGTTTGTTGGACAGCGCTCTTCAAAGTGACACCTTCCAAGGACTCAACAATCTTATGCAGCTCAACATAGCAAAAAATTCACTCAAGAAAATGCCTTTAAGCATTCCAGCTAACACACTGCAGCTGTTTTTGGACAACAACTCCATTGAAGTGATACCAGAAAACTACTTCAGTGCAATACCCAAAGTGACTTTCCTTAGGCTGAACTACAATAAATTATCTGATGATGGTATTCCCCCAAATGGGTTTAATGTTTCATCTATTTTAGATCTACAGCTGTCTCACAACCAGCTCACTAAAATTCCACCAATCAATGCTCATCTCGAGCACCTTCACCTTGATCACAACAGAATCAAAAGTAAGTGTGTATTGTCATTGTGGGATCCTACCAAGACATAATTATTTTTAAATGTCTACTTAACTGCAAAAAATGCTCTTTGAAATAAAGAGATTAAAAATGTGCTGTAGATTATAGGGAGATGAGCAAGAGGACCTTCCACAGGCCAGTTTTCAAGTCACGTCTAAAGCATGACAGCCAAATATGTGCATGGAAGCAATACCACACGTGAAAAATATTCAAATGCACAGAGAAAAAACACTTTGCAAGCAGATCAGAAATATGAGTGGATTAAGGAGAATTTGTGCATTCACGTTTTGCTATACACATGCCAGTAACTATTTTGTGGGAACAAATTAAGTTTCCCACAGAAAGGCTAGGAGTAAATAAGCAAGAAACACCAATAAAAAAGTGGGTGCAACAAGTTAGGATATTCGATCCACATCTGTATGACTGTTAGATTTTCAAAGTTCCTGAGCACTTTAGGGACTTCACTAAACTAACAGAATTGGTCAGTTGTTCTGAGTATCTCTCTGCTCACCTAAATTATGTAGTAGGAGCTTAAGGTCAGCCACCCTTAAAACAGAACAAAATGTTGGCTGTAGTTAACACAATCTTTTTCGAATATGACTAATTAGAATGTGGATATTGAATATTTCAGGCTTGAATATCCTCCCTATCTTTTGTTTACTCTGCACAAAATGCTGACACTTGAGTTTAGTCTTCATGAAAAATCTTTTCACTGACTTTACAGAAGCTTTGTGCTACTAAGGTTTATCTCCTCATATGTCTTCTAACATTTTCCACTTTGTATAAATGAGACAAGGTTTTGTACCCAAGGCAACAGAAGCCTGTTGTCATGTCATAGTTCTGCTTCTAGCACAGCTTCCAGATTCATCCAGGTACAGTGGGGATGTGGTGGTTAGGGACACTGTGTAAAGTATCTGCTCAGTAAGTCCTACAGACCTTAAATCCTTTTTTTCATGCCAAAAGCCAAAATCAAAGTGATGACTTTCTATTTATCTCTGCAGGGAAGGTAACCAAGTCTTTACATTTGTCTTCCTGTCATGGTGATTTAATTGAATAAATGGTTCCTTACTCCTGTTTTATATCACTGTAGTTCACAAATATACTAAAAATAATGCCTTGGTTTCTGTATGAAACAAGGATATATCAAAGGAAGATACTTATTAATAATTTAGGTTAATTCACTGCATTTTGCAAAACAAACGTATGAAACCTTGTAAAGAAAAAACAATTTTGTACAACCAGCACATATTTAAGTGGCCTGCGAGAAGTCTAACAGTTAGAGTTAGGGCTTATGACATACACTGTTACTGAACATATTTCATTGCCTTCTGGTTACAAAGGGATTTATTTTAATTGCTTCACTGCAGGACCTCAGGTGTAGATTTTATCTCCTGTCACTTTAAGTGGACACTAAACTGAAATCGATGGAATGTAACCTGTCCAGTTTAAGAAGTTTTCTGTGTCTAGGTAGTATTTAAAGAGCCGCCAAATGATCTTCCTCTCCTAATAAGTTTAAAAAAGGTTAAAACAGAGAAAATCAGCTTGTATAGTAGGTGCAAACTCAAGTCCCATTTTCCAATGACACATGGGTACCCACAGACTAAATCACAATAGTTTTCCACAAGCCTTATATTTCTTAATGCCTTTACCACTTCTCAAAATTCATTACTAACTTAAGCACAGCACTGCTCTTAATTTAAAAAAAAATGTTCTTAGTAACTACATATGAAGTAGTCAAAAAAATATTAACAAATGCAACCTGACACCTTAAATGAAATGCAGGTGTTATGTAAGGCACATTCTACCACATAGCATAATTGTTCAAGAGGTAAGGGATAATGACATAGTCTTCATGAGACACTGCTCTAATAGACGATATCTCAAAGAGCCTTTAGGATCACAAACAAGGAATGTAATTCCATCAGGCAGGAGTAATAAGATGTGGCATTAATTCTGCAGAATGTTTTTGTCTTCTTAAACCCAGGAAGTTGATGATCAGTCATTACTTTAAGATAACCCATGTAAAAGACTTGAAAGAAAAATAACTGTAAAAGCCTGAATCTGGTTTCTCAACAAAGGAGTCCTCCTGAAAATTTACTTTTATGTGTGCAGTACAAGCCCTTTTTATAGTGTTAATTCTCAGATACCCATGCACACCTGCCAATTGCTTCTTTATTTTCTCTTGGCGGTTCATAGTCACACTGCTGGCATTGCAAGAGCTCAGACATCAAAATTTTTTTGTAAATACTATTTGCCTACTTTTTATTGCATGTTATTGTATAACATCAGTTCTTCATATAAGTCCAAGGCCTTATTTCTCCAGAGACCATTTATGAAGATATAAGGCAATATCCTGAAGCCCAGTGGAGCCAATGATAGCCTCATCTTTTGTAACAGTGGAACCAGGATTTCGCCTGTGGTCCCTTCCCCAAGGTTCTCAATGAGCAGAGGAAAAGAAGTACTTGAAAGTTGGAAGCAAAATCAACATAAAACCAAAACTAATTATAGCTACAACAGATATGCACCACACTTGTTCCATGGCATTTTAAAACACACGTTTACATATTTATTTACGAGATACACATGCGAGGCTCTGGGGAGATGTCAAATGATGGAAAAGGGAGTGTTAGAGGAAGCAAAAAGAGGAGAAGCCATGAAATGATGAAGTAGTGAGCGAGCAAGGGTAAGCAGGTGGTATTACAGTGCTATCAAAGGCGCGATAAAAGGGAGTGAACAAATTCCCCTAGAGGAACACCAGGAGACCGGGATATCTCCTCTGAGCTAATATTATTCTATGTGTAGAGAAAGGAAGAAGTCCTTGGGCCAAGTAGCAATGCCAGTCTATCAGAATCTGTTACAGGATATTAGGAAAGAAATGATTGAAGTTACAGATCCTGACTTATTGTCAGACCCCTGCACTATAGCTGGTACTGGCTTCTTTGCTAGAAGAGCCCAGAAAGGCACAGATTTCCAGGCTGATCCATGGCTGCTGCAGTTAAATATTATGTGAAAAGGAGAAAGGGGGTCCAAATATGCCAGTTGGACTACAGTGAATGCAGCTAGAGGTTACAAGAATAGAACAGAAATGCCTTCATGCTCATATGTCAGAACACATCTATCTTCTAGATTAACTTACTTTCTGAATGTTTCTAAATACGAGTTTTACTGGAAAAGAAACAGGATCTTCTGCGGTTCTTCAGCAGACATACAGTATTAGCCATCAATGAGAAGCTCTTCTGCAGTTTTCCCCTACAGCAGCTCCAGAGTCTCATTTTTAAATATTATACCATTTAACATACTGTTGACAACAGGTGGAATTCATCTTATTTGAATTAACCATCCTAGATGTTTGTGTCTAGTTTGGGTTAGTCATACAGACCACTTAATTAATGGAAAGACAACACAACTGCAGAGGGAAAATCATCCCATCTTAAGGAGCTGTGAATCACCTTTTGGAAGTGTTCATCTCTGGAGAGAGTTTATAAACATAGTCTAAATGGTTAACTTAGACTGACACTTACCCTCCACACAGATCAGTTTAGGTAGGGTGAATTGCACCTCTGTAGATGGATTGCATTGTCCCACCTGCTTAAGCAAAATTCAGAAATATACCCCTGAACAGGACTGCAAGAGAAGAGGAGAGAGAAAGGCTTTTACTCCTCTGATAGTTTGTGTAGGATTTACTGTTCATGGGAAGAGAACAATAAAAACCAAACCACTTCATACCACACATCATCAGGAAATAACTTCTTCATAGATGGCCTGTGGTTAGATGAGGCCTGCTGCCTCACTTTAAAGTTGGAGTAATTAACCCAGTGAAAACAAGTGCAGTGGGATAGTTTCTAGGTCAGAGAACATAGAGATTTAGAACACACTTGAAGCTGTCTTGTCTCCTAATGACAGCAGTGCTGACCTGAAAAGGCAGATATTTTCTGCTACATAGTGTTGATTCACCTGTAAAACTTTCAATAACTGCTTTCATAATGAAACCTCACTCTCAAGCTTCCTGCTTTGTAGCTTCACACATAAAAAGATGATGTAGCTTGTTTCTTCCAAGAATATCAAATGCTTTACAAACATTAATCAAATTCCACATCATAGGCAAAGACATTTTGATATCATAGTTATGAGAAAAGTTTTAGGTCTTGGCCAACTGGATGTATTTATCTAGTTTCTGTGACAAAGATAAAGTCTGTTTCCAAGATGTTGCAAACATCTGCACAGTTTTTCAAAATAGGGTGGGTTTTTTTTGTTTGGGGAAAAAAAAATCATGTTTGTTTTTTTTTCCATCATAACGTTTCAACAATTTGGGGGATTGCAATCAAAAGATGTGTGCATATTATCATTGCTAAATATAAGGGGAGAAAAATTTTGGTAGAAAGCTTTTCCTATTTCTGGGCTGCTAAAAAAATGGTGCTCAAAAAAATCTGTTACGCACACATTCTCTATTCAACCACTTTTTGCAGGTGACCTGGGGCCAACAAGATCCTCAAGCAGTCAGACCACTCACTAAATACCATAATTTGGTCAAAGGAGTTTGATATCTTTGATAAACAAACACCACTTCAGTGTTTTCTAGAATAAGGACAGTTTGAGGCTGAAATAGGGCAGTGGCAGCCTCACTATTCAACATCTGAAGATAAAATATGAAAAGCATTTTAGCCAAGTGACAGTGCAGAGATAACTTAGGGAAGACAATGTAAAGAACCCAATCTATTCAACTCTTATGAAAATGAGTAATGATTTAAGCCGTAGTTTCAAATTTTATCTGAACTGAAACAAGCTATGTGTGATTAATAAAGAATTTTAAGGACTTGTTGGCTTTCAGATTAGGAAGAAAAATATGTCGTTGCACAAGTTATATTCTTCCAATTAAAACCAACTGTACTGAAGAATTTGAGAGAACAGGAAAGTACAGATGTTAAAAGTTACAGACACTATACGAAAAGCTCCTCTGACTCAATACTGTTTTCATTTTGAATGCAAGATCTTCATTGGGGAATATTATCAACTAAAATTAATGTACTGTCATTGCAGTAAGATGTTCATAATCTGTCAGCATTAACCTCGTTCTGCTCTCTCTGAAGGCAGAGAGCTATTTCTCAATGAACAGTTACCTAGTAGTTGTCTAAATTAGTTTCCTCTCTGTCCAGGGTAAAATTATGCATCTAGTGGCCTTTATTCATAATTGCAGCACATTAAAGATGTGATTCATTGATCTAGATTACATTATGTTAAAATGCTTCTTTGCTTGATCAAAAAAGCAGTTAATTGTTAATTGGCATTTTCCAGCTCTGGTAGGAGCAAGTGTCTCCCATACAAATATCAGTGGAAGCCTGTTTTATTTGTTTTCTAAATGAATTTTACCTTCATGAACCTTTCCCATGGAAATTACCTAACATGTTGTTCTACATTCTCAGGTGTCAATGGTACTCAAATATGCCCAGTCTCAATTGCCATAGCCGAAGACTATGGTTTTTATGGCAACACCCCTCGCCTCCGATACCTTCGCCTGGATGGAAATGAAATTCAACCTCCAATCCCATTGGACATCATGATATGTTTCCGACTTCTTCAAGCTGTTGTCATATAAAGATATCACAGTGTCACTCTTGTGCTGTGAGAGTGCTAAGATACAAGTTTTGCTGGAATGAAACTTGTTCTAACTCATAAATCAAGAAGTAACATCTTCATTTTGACTTTAGTTTTTTCTTTGCTTGCATCTTTTCTACAGCTGAAAAGATTGTTCTTCTTTCAGAAGAGATTTTGGATGGACATGAAATACGTGCTTAGCACTATCTAAGAATTCCTAACACGAATATATTGAAAATCATCTGTGTAAGATCCCAAATATTCCAAATCAAATTCTTGTCTACTCCGTCTTTCTTGTCAAGTGCTATAATATCTATCCTGTTAACATCATTGCTATGGACAAATTATACTTCCTTATTTTGTTACATAGTAACTAACAGAATGAATTTGGGTGTACTTGGCTAAATATATATGCTAGAAAAATCATGAGTTGCATGACTAGTAGTTATTAGAACTGTCACTGTCTTTTTTAAGATAGTGACTAATGGTGAACAACCACTTAACATGTAAATAACTCATAAATTGCTGTCATCCTTTGAAGGCTGATAGTTTTAAGGCATGAAGTATGAGGCTCAGAGTACAAAGCAATATACTGAATATATATTGTTGTATGGATTCATTCAGAGTATGATTTCAGAATTGGAATACACTGATCCAACTCAAATCCAGGGACAAGGGAGCATGAGATGAAAGCTTGGTCTATCGAAGTGACAATTGTCTGCTGTTTCATTCTTCAGTATTCCTTTTCTAGTTTTGACAACATTTCTGTCTGTAGCTCTGGGATAGTCATTGAATATTTGGTTTATTTTAGTTTCCGTAGAGATAAAACCAAGAACAGTAATGATTACATATTTCACTGACTAGGTACTTCACAAAAATTGGAATGGCTAGTTAACATAATGGTGATAAAGAGAAAATTAAGACATTAAGACATACATCCCCTCCCAATTATTTACTGAACTAGCCAAATATTTTCATAGGAATTGTATCAGTTTAAGCAACTATAATTAACTCGGAGCAGTATTTAGCTATCTGCTGACTCATATACATGCACATAATAACATTGGATTTTAGAGAAGTCCAGGTGTTTAGAATACAGCACATTCACAATTCACTACACAAGGAAGATATCAGTGGGCATCTTTTTATGAAATCTGGCTGCTTTTTTTCTATTTGTATAAGATAATATTGAGATTTCAATACACAACTTGAATATTAGAGTCAACTATTCACTGGGAGAGTATGACATTTTTATTTCTGATAGCCAGCACAACAGACTATCCATCAGTCATATTATTTTAGTCTTGTATTTGTAGATAGAAGCAATTAGTTGCTCTTTGATAGTTTTCATCTATTTTTAACATTTTAGGACTGGCCTCAGTAACAAGCATTTAAAGACTTTGCATGTGGTATAATTTTTTCTTTGAAGATGAAGAATTTTGTTAGAAGTAGATTTTTAAAAGGGTTGAGAACTGCAATTTCTAACATTCAATCTCTCTTTATCTGAAAATCAGGCCTTATTCTGCTCCAGTGCACTTGTGGAAATAACCCAGTATAGAAACCCAGCATAGAAATAACCCATTCAGAAATCCTATCACAAAAACTTTTATTTTTGCAGTTCTTTTTATGCGATTGCTGAGAAACTCCTTCCCTTCTAGCGAAATTTTTTCTGTATCATCTCTGTGTTCACCCTATATGAAAAAATACAGATTTAAAAAGTCTCTACAATATGTATGCATGTTTGCCTATGTTCTTTACTCAATAATAGCATAGTAATTTATTTTTTTGAAAAAAAAAATTATGTGACAATACTAATTAAATTATAACAATAATTATGTGCTTGTGGAAATTAATTTCTACTTTAAACAAAGAACAAATATACATAGTTCAAACCAAATATTCACAGGCATATATGCATATTATTATCATTATTTACAGTTCTACCTGATCATACAGCAAAGCGTCTTGAAATTCCAGCCAAAAATTATGACCCTTTTAGGCACTATATAAGTATTAAAACAGAAAAGACTAACTCTTCCCCAAAGAGATGTTAAGCTTATATATGGGAAGGGATGATATGTAAAATCATATAGGGACAGTGGAGCATCAAGGTACTCAGTTTTCCTGATAGGGGCACTATGTGATGAAATCAGGGGCATATAATCTGATGAAATCACTTTTAGCACCTATTTTCCACCAGCTGGCCTGATATTGATGGATTTTTCCAATCCACTGTAGGGTGGAAAGCCTTATAAATTAATTCTTCAAAGGTCAGTACTATCTTATGGAACAATCTTTGGACTCATGCAGATTGATGCTCAAGACTTGTCTCTGTCAGATCCCAGTTAATCTGACTAAAGACAAAAATTCATGATAAATCCTTGGATAAACTTTTATTGGGCTGAAGAGTTTCTGCTGCCAAGTGCTCTGTGTTCTACACCTTTGATACAACCCGTTGACTCCACATCTGGGGACTCTTTAATAAAGAGAAAATCCTAAGTATCCTTATCTAGGCTAATTTGTCCCATCCATTTGTGATTCCCTCTCCCAGAACCAGCAGTATGGAGCAGAATGAAAAATAATTATGTTACTGCAGTGACCTTCACAAGATAAATCAACCCTGGCTGGGGTTTGAGCTACTTTATTGCTTGCATGTCTCTATTTGCAACAGTCTTAATGTTCTTAAACATTCTGGGAAAGCTGGTGAAATTTCCCCTCAGATTACAATAGCAGCCCTAAATTGCATTATTGTGTTGAACTAAACAATGTAGGCTTTCAGCCACACCTCATTCAATCCATTCGTTATGCCAAAAGACTATAAAGGAAAATCTAAAACACAATGTCTGTTTCCCTGTGAAGAAGGTCCCTAAAACAATGTAAAAAGAAAGCATCACTGTACTTGACAGTCTGATGTTAATTCTTTCTAATCCAAGATTGATCTAAGACTCCCTACTGATATTTCCTGGTTCAGAAAAAATTGCAGTCTCTTCCAATGCAAGGAGGGAGGAACAGAACTCTCAGCTGTCCTGTCTGAACGTGCAGCTGCCTTCATAAAGCTGACATTTTTTTCACTTAATTGTCAGAGCACATCACAAACAGTTTTGAATGGAATATCATGTACAGAAACAAAACATTTACAAGTATGAGAAGCTGAGAACAAAGCAGGTCACCTTAAGCACACTGCAGTTGTGGTCAATCGCTAATCAAACCACAAACACCTAATGCTTTGCCAGAAATGCATATTACATATGTGTTAATTATGAAATTATGGTCATTAACACAGATGTGTGATCACCTCAGCCCAGGACACAGACAGTTGCTCTGTAAAGAAAAGCACTAAAGCAAAGTGAGAGGCTCAAGAACTGAGAAATACCCAGATGTTTCTGACACATCTGCCAGCTTGATTGGAGGCTGGATGCTGGATCTGTCAAAAGACCGTGTGGTTTTATAACGCAGCTGGCTCTGCAGGACGAAAAGTCCTTTATAGATTCTGCCAGCACAGTTAAAAATCCAGCCATATGCATGAATTTCCCTGCTCCATACTCTTCTCTGGCATTTTCTGTTTCTTCCTCAATATTCCAAACAGTTTGCTACCACTTCCTTCTTCAACATTTTTAATGAAACACACCACCACAGCAATATCTGCAGAGATGCCAGTGACCACATCAGCTTGTATGACACTTGAAGGAAGAAACACAAACACTAACAGGTAAAAATTTGGAAGACAACCAGAAAGCCAATTTGCATGTTTGTAATTACTAACTCCAACACATATCCTGTGTCACTGAGAGGATTTTCATTCACCCTTGCTGCACTCAAATAGTTTCTAAAGTTTGCCACAAATACTTACTGTCATTTTTCCAGCCTAGAAAAACTATTTCCTGATACTATATTGCAGCTAGTTTCGTTACCTATCTGGAATCAGGTTACTGTAACACCTAAACTGCTGTATTGGTTGTTGAACAGCAAATATCCCACTTCTGCCACGTGTGACAGAGAACCTTTGGCATTGTTGAAGTCAGCAAGTAAACATCCTCCTCTTGACTGAAAGTCTCCTCCATAATTGCACTTTTTTCCCCAGAATTGCTTACCCGTTTAAACATAAAGGGTAGCTCTACAAAGCACCACACTGTGTAATGATACTCAGTAGTACTACCTACTTCAGGTCAAGTGTATGAAGCAATATGCATCATTTGCATCATGTTCTGCCTTAGCTAATTTAGCTTCTTTCCCATTAGTAGAGGTAATATTGCTTTTGAGTCTTGTGCTTGCTCTGTCAGTGCTAGTTCAAACAAATCTATACTGTAATGAATTTGAAACCTTTCCCAATACAGTTGTTTCTTACACCCCCTGCACTGTTGCCAACATCCTGGGTATCCTTCTTACTGTTTTTTGTCTTGGTTTCTGTAGCATATGCATTTGACCAACCTATCAGCTTGATTTACTTTTGTTTCTTCAGTGTTTTTTAGCTTAAGCATGTTTATGCATGCTGCATAAATAAAACAGCTAATGGCTGTTCTGATTTCATCTGTTTCCCGGCAGTTCAGCTGCATCTGGGTTTCTCTAGGAGAAGCACCATCCTGACTGCCGCACACATACCACAGCAGAACAGGGTGCCCTGCTGCTCACAGCATTCACACCTCCTCCTACACATGTGCATGGACCCAGGCTGATGCTGTCATGTAGATAGGGTGTATCTAGAAATCTCTTTTCCAAGGCTTCCCCTCCCCACCCCCAGCCTTTTTTGTAGGAAAATTAGTGAAGAAACTGGAACCATATCTTCCACAAACAAAAGATTTCCTAATTAGTGGCTGGGGCAATGAAAGTTGCATGTGGAATCAGCAGCTCTCAGTGAAGCTAGGCTTTTTCAATAAATCATTTATTCATTAAAATGCTCTACCACAGTTTTTCTGAATTACTAGTAAATTCAGAAAAAGTATGCAAATAATTTCAGCCACAGGAAAGAAAAAAAAATAAAACAGTTCTCATGCTTCTTATTTAATAATCCTGTTGCTAAGACAACCATGTAGCATGATATGCCCTTCTCCAGGCAATGAAACCCTGGAAATTGTCTGAAATCATACTCCTACTACTAGGAAGCCTATTTCAAGGAGGGTAATCTCCTTGTGATGCTCTGCTTTGTTTCAGGACTTGAAATAATCCACTGATTCTCTACCCTGCAGTGAGGATAGGATATTATAGGCTCTAGGCTCAAATCCTTGTCTGAATCAGAAGCAGAGTGAATTGGAGTGTAGATTTTTTTTCTCTGAGGAGGCTGTTTTGAGGACCAGACTTGAGGTTCACTCTGTTTTGTGAATCCTAAGATTTGTTTCTCTTAATTATTGGGAC